TTAGATTATGATTAGATTATAAATTATTTTTTAGGTAGATACATGTCATTAATATAATTAAAATAATGACGTAATCTTCTACATTTTTATTATTTTCCTCATATTTTGCGGAAATGTTCAACTTTTTCGCGATTATTATATTATCCCCATTTTCATATTTTACGAACAAAAAACGGTTTTTTGAATATTAAGAATTGGCAATGAAGAATATAAATTGGACACATTGGTTTAAATATTGCACCATTTAATTATTACGATTAATTTTGCACCAAACGGCAAAAATGCGCCTCATCGAAATATTAGTTTTAGACTCCACGTTTCTTTGGACCAAATCCGTTTCAGACAATTTGGAGTCGATTTACAAATATCGATCTGCCCGGCTGGTGCACACGATACACTCAAAGGGAATATGAGATTTCATCTAAAGTTTACACATCGTAATATTTCCTCCAAACTTAGTTCAAGTTCGACAAGTCCGCAAATCATATGCTGAGATATACAGTGGTGGTCACAGAATTAAAACATTTACTGTGGTAAACATTTTTTGATCAGCCCTCGATTCGTTTGAAGTATTTTTGAAAATTTTTTCATTCAGAACACTTCGATATACTGCACTTAAGAGATTTAGTGTGAAAATAGACAATTTTGCACGCAATTTTTCCATAAATAACGGTTTTTATGAAAATACATCGACTTTGAAGTGGCCATATAATTAAAACATTGTGTGGGATTTTTTACTTTTCTGCATTTTTTGAAATTATTTTTAGAAAATCTCTTTAATTTAGTTAAATTATGTAAACTAAGCACCGATAAAATCATTTACAGATAAAAATTGTTGAAAAAAATCTGTAAAATCTATCAAAATTGCCAACAATTTGTACAGTACACCTTACGTTCAGAAAATCACCCTAATTATAGAAAATAAAGGTCCGAATGCACCAGAAATTGCTAGAATTAGTAGAAAACCTTAACGAATTCTCAAAATAGAGAAATATTTGAAATAAAAACTCAAAAAATTGGAATTTACCTAAAGGAACGATTCAATTTCAATAGCCTTTACTGAAGAAGGCCGGAATATTTTTGCAGTATGTGAGAAAAAATGGATTGATATTGGTATTTATTATATCAAATCGACTGTTCGAGTAGTACAGAATATATTTTATCAAAAAATATATCTGTCAGAACAGAACGAACAGAGATCAACGCCTAGGTTGACCAGTAAAAGTTTCTGGCACACAGCAGCATGTTTGATGGTCAACTCTTGACCCTTAAAATCTATTGAACATGACAATATTTTTCCAAAATAATATTTTTTGATTCGAATAACTTCCACTTAATCTATTTTAGTATCAAGGAAGTAAAAATGTTACAGTTTGACAAATATTTGAAGTCTTGTGTTGAACATCAAAAATGCTGCTGTGTGCCAGAAACTTTTACTCGTCAACCTAGGCGTTGATCTCTGTTCGTTCTGTTCTGACAAATAAATTTTTTGATATAATATATTCTGTACTACTCGAACAGTCGATTTGATATAATAAATACCAATATCAATCCATTTTTTCTCACATACTGCAAAAATATTCCGGCCTTCTTCAGTAAAGACTATTGAAATTGAATCGTTCCTTTAGGTTAATTCCAATTTTTTGAATTTTTATTTCAAATATTTCTTTAATTTGAGAATTATTAATTGTTTTCTACTAATTCTAGCAATTTCTGGTGCATTCGGACCTTTATTTTCTATAATAAGGGTGATTTTCTGAACGTAAGGTGTACTGTACAAATTGTTGGCAATTTTGATAGATTTTACAGATTTTTTTCAACAATTTTTATCTGTAAATGATTTTATCGGTGCTTAGTTTACATAATTTAACTAAATTAAAGAGCTTTTCTAAAAATATTTTCAAAAAATGCAGAAAAGTAATAATCCCACACAATGTTTTAATTATATGGCCACTTCAAAGTCGAGGAATTTTCATAAAAACCGTTATTTATGGAAAAATTGCATGCAAAAATTTTCTATTTTCAAACTAAATCTCTTAAGTGCAGTATATCGAAGTGTTCTGAATGAAAAAATTTCAAAAATACTTCAAACTAATCGAGGGCTGATCGATATATTTTTACCACAGTAAATGTTTTAATTCTGTGACCACCACTGTATATCTGTCGTCAACGCCAACCGACACTTTTACTTGTTGAAAATAAATTGTACCAGAAATTGAAACAAAATACGAATGTTTATGATTTGGCAACAAAAGCTATAAGAAATGCGAATCGTTTGAACTAGACCACTAATAACAATACCTCTTTATTCGTTAAATTATTTTATTTTATTTTTTTGCATAATAATATGGACTTAAAAAAAATTTTACTAAATTTTGTATGTTATTGGCCAATTCTTTAATTTTATTAAATTTGGTCAGGATTTTTGATGAAATTTTGTTGTATTAAACCATTTTAATGATGTATCTTCCAATGTAATTTTTAATTATAATTGATAGTATTTTTGGATAAATATATCGTGCAGTTACAAACTCCAGGGACCACACAAACTTACAACATCGTTGTGTAGGGTATACAAATATACATATTATGATTGAGCCTATTAATAAGGCCCGCGAAAATATTTTAATCGCGATATACCAACGAGAACAAGAAAAAAACATCAAAATAAACGTAATGATAGCATTGTGTACGTATATTTTGGTTCGAATAATAACATATTTTTCAATTAATAAACCTTTACAATCAAACGTTTGAAGCCGGAAACGATAGAATTATTAGTCTGGAAAAACATTGTTTCGAGAAAACCCCGTTTAAAGTTTTAAAACTTTTTATAACGTTATCAATAATAAGTCTGCGTATTCGTTATTTTATAACAATTTGTAGAAATGGTTACTAAATGTTGGTGAAAATCTGGAAAACATTTTCTCAGTAAAGTTTTGTACAAACTACAAGCAATGGATATCAAATTTCAGAATTTGTTTTTTTTTTACAAAATCTTGTATTTTTATATTTTGTAAGTTTATTGTTTTAAGAACAAGAATCTCTCTTACTCTCACAACGAATCTTACTGAGCAATTATTACTGGAAAAGAACGCAAACAAGCCTAATGTGTGCTGTATTTGTTTTTCTTTTGCTTTCTCATATTTATCCAATTCAGAAACTAATTCGTTCTTTGAATTACTTTTCCTTTGATGTGATACTATTATTTGTGTACGAAGTTTAAAAAATATTATTAACCAGCAACTGACCCTTATCCTCCCTGGTCCAATATTCGTGCGTGTAGATGACAACTTCCACATCAACACTTTCAGTAGCAATCGTTTATAGGCTGCACTTACATACAGGTAAGTCGCAATCAGTGTTGCCAATTTAGCATTTTTAGTGCTAGATTTAGCACTTTTCGAACTCATTTAGCACCAAAAAAAGTCGTCTAGCATCTAGCACTTTTTTATCATTTTTTTTTTTTTTTTTTTTTTTTGCTTGAATTTTTTACAATTTTCGATATTACACTAAAAAAAGGTCATTCTTCGATTTCACGTTAACATTTTCCTATGTTTCACAAGGATCAGTATACTCATACTGTACACAATTAACACTGGACTTAAATTTTATGGCATACTAATTCCCGAGTCGATGAAAAATTCAATGAAGTATGCACCTCCTAGTGTGATAACAACACTACCAAACTGGACATTTTAGTATAACTCCTATACACTAGCAACATTTTCCCGCATTAAACATAAATTTCATGGAATAACTTTTTTAAAGCCTTAGTTCATTTGACCCCCTTACTAATCCTGGATTTCCTTCCCTGTATAATAGTTATTGGTGTTCTAGGGAGACTAAACAACTAGCAAAAAAACTTTGCTGGCTAATTTCATTCTCAAAAATATCAAAACTATAGATGTCGCACTTCACCGTAAATAAAATTTCATAGCTATCAGAACGACATTTTCGCCCTCCAGTGCGGTTATAGAAATAGTAAACAGTATTAGATTTTTATTAAATTTTTATGTATAGCTTCACATCGAGTACACAAATTAATTTTACTAATATCTTGAATACACTGTCATCTTCTCCGGTCTAAGTCCCTTTACTATAAATATTTATCTTTGTTTATAAAAGGGACCTCTAGAAAAAATGCATAAAATACATGTTTTAAGAAGATTTAACATATATTTACCAAAAAATAGGTGCCTTCATTGGTCTGAACCGGGGGTTTTCGACGAAATTCTTGACGGTTGGTCCAAAATTTATAATTTATTGCAAGTCAAAATAGTACGATCGGTATACTAAATGGTGGGTCTAGGATCAAAAAATAATGTTTTATGTAATAAATTAAATATAAATTAAAAATTTCTTAATAAAAATGTTACCACTTTTCTAAATTTTTTAGCACTTTTTGGCATTTTTTGAAACAAAATCTAGCATTTTTGCTCAATAAAGTTTTGGAAACACTGGTCGCAATCCATATTCATAAAACCCGTAACATTCCCTTTGAAGCAGCAATTCTTTTCAAAATTATTTCATTCGCAGAATTCTTCTTGATATCGAATTACGACTTTGAATTTCAATGACGGAATACTTAATGCGAGTACTCAGCAACAAATTATGGCATTAATTTGTTTTAATCCGGGCACATTCAGAGTCACTGATCAAATGATTTCCTGCTTACACTCGCTCTAATAACGAATGACATTTTTTTTTTAAATTTGGTTGTGGGCGGATTTGGTCTTTGGCCTCTTGAGTATTTTGCCATTAGAATAAAACAAATAATGGTGCTTTGCGATTTTTAAGAAGAATAATTACACGGTACCCAACAAGGGCGAATCTTTTCAGCAATTGAAGAAAAAACGGAAACACTTCAGCGATAATAAACCAAATATTGAAATATTTGTCGCAATATTTAAGATAATGATATATAATGTTCCTGAAGATTTCGATTAATTTTCCACATATTTCGGAAAAACAACTTATTGTTTTTTATTTACACTCACCCTGCATAGCTCCGCCCCAGCACAGCCAGAACAAAGCCCACTTAGCCGTACAAAATCTCTGCAGGCATTTAGGCTTATAGCGGTACCAGCCATAACTTTGCGAGCCCATGAATGTGTCCGTCGAAGCTGATCTTTGGTCGATTGTTGACGGTGTTTGCCCTTGATTCGTGCCGTTGTTGTTATCCATTGCCTTTTGTCGCTCCCTGTTCACTTGTTCCATTCACTTTGGTCGATACTTTCTCATAAATCGGTGTTTTTATTTATTTATTTTTTTCTATTTTAGTTTCAATAATTAGTTGTTGTTGTTTTTGTTCTTCTTCTTCAAAAAAGGAAAATAAAATATCCACTTGACTTCAATTTGAATTGAACGTTACATTCATTTCCTCGTTGTCAGTACATATCACGATTTTAAAGCGAAAGCACGCGAAGCCTCGAACATTACAAAACGATGCGCTAAATGTAACTAAACGATGGTCACAGCATGGCATTCCTTCAAAGCACAACTTCGTGTGAACGAAACAACTTCGTTTAGTCACTCGCACGCACGCACAGACACACACACTCATCCCCATTCATATTCCTGTGTGTATGGTTGTTAACAGTCTCGTTGTTATGTTTACTGTTATATCCAAAAGATCTCTAGGACTCACAGGATATGGTATACGATTCAATTCTTTACGAAGCATGCCAGGCAGGAATTTACATTGGCCTGGCATGTTAGTCGTATTGGGCGGCAGTTTGGAAAGCAGTTCTGCTACCGAGAAATGTTAATCGTGGAGGAAACTCTGTTAAGTGCTTTGTTATTGACTGAACACAAGTGAGTGCGTGGGTGAGTGCTCGGTCGTCGGTCGGATGGGTATGAGTTGAGAGCAATTGTTTAAGTTTTAAATTCACCACCAGCACTCCGTGACTGCACAGCCCAATCGCACACCCGTACCTACAATGACACAAAATCAAAACAACCAAGTGTCAACGCTGCATAAGTAGGTGGGAATTTTAATAAACCAAAACAAGAGAACATCAACAGAATGTAGCGGGATTTTTTTATGCTGACTGGGCGAATGTGAATGAGTTTATCTTACGCACGCATTCATGCCCGCGTAGTCATCTCGCAGCCATTGTCAACCTCATCATAGCGACTATTTGAGCAGCTTATAATTGCCCTGGATAATAAATCCATGACACCAAGGTGTTTATTCCAGTCGATGTACTACGCAACCCACAGTCGACACATTGTGTGTCTATCGGTTTGGTTTGACCACGCTTTCAAAGTGTTCCTATTTTTTTAAAACAATGGTTTATTCAATAGACAGAGTGAGTGTGCCAGTAGTCGACACTTTATCGATATGAGTGTCTTCATTTTTCTGCCAACCAAGGTGCAATAATTCAATAACATTTGGAATATCAATTAATACCATAGACATACGACAGCCTTAACTTGCATTAAAAATTTCTTAATTTGAATTAATATTTACCCCTGACAGACGAGAGTTTCTACATTTACGAAACAGTTTCTTGCTTCAAAACAATTGTTTGTATGTGTGTAGGAATAACATTTTTTACATTTGTTTCGATATTTCTCGGGATTACATCTTTAGGAAGTAGATACATGAAATAAAGGAGGAACAGCACCGATGATCTTAGCAAAACAGCTCCCAATTTAAAAAATGGTTGAAATTTGCCTTCATTTCTTATTTCTATTTTCATAAATATAAATAAATTTGACAAGAAACAATTAATTTTAGACAGCATTGTCATATTGAAATTGTCTAATTCAGTATAAATTCAATTTGATTTTGTGCATTAACAACACATAAAAATGAGGATAATGTACAAGTTAATTTGAATTAAGGCTGTTAATGCAAATTAAGGCTGTCTTCTGTCTAGGCTATAACACGCTGCGAAATACTGTTCAAGTTATCAACGTTTTTTTTTTTAGTTAGACAGCCAGTAAAAATAGATGATAATGTAATGATAGATGAACTTAATTTATGTCAAATATAGACTTAAAAAATCCCAATTTATTTAAATAAATCATAAATGTACAATAAATTACCCAATTTTATAGTTGTTGTTTTTTTAATTTATAAATTTTGAAACATTTTGGATGTACACTTCAGTACTATGAATTTATTTAACCAAAATATTGTTCAAAAGAACACAGTGTGTGTTCCCCTGTTCCAGAATTTACCTTTTCTCAGATTATGCCATTGTTTGCCTATTAATAGTCTCCTAACTGTTATGGACACGTTATTCAAATAACAATTATCTATTATCATATAATCTGGCCACTCTTCGAAATATCATGAAATATCATACACTTGCCAGAAAAAGTATTCGTACACATTCAACATAAAATTTCAAACTCAAGAAATATACTGCCGTGTGCTTAGGATCATTTTCCTGTTAGGACCAATAGTCCTGTCCTAGGTTCAGTTGCTGCAGCCATACTAATCATTGCGGATTCATTAAAGGTAAATTTTGCCACGCTTAAACCTGGCATGCACCTTCATACCATAAATCCATCTCTTCTGTGTTTGCCGTTTAAACAAGATTTTCTTTATTTAGTACAGTTACACTTTTTCGCCAACGAAGTTTTTTTTCCTTTAATGCCAATTATGCAAAACTTTCTTTCGACGTAAAATGAGACATTTTCTTACAATTCTGGGGCCTTACTCATTACCGAAGTCTCTTCTCTTCTCCCACTTGATATCATATATATACGGCCTTACGAGCTATTTAAATTTTCCGCATGGTATCTTCATGAATACGTTTGCTGATGTTTTCTCTTATGTTTTTACTGGTTTTCGATGCCATTATTGCCTTAGCAATTTCACGCAAAGATTTTCCTTCATTGCGTAATTTTGGGATAATTAAACACCCATCAGTACCAATTTTGTTTTGGGACTCATCTCGATTTTTAATTTGAAGAAAATAAAAAAGAAAACATTGCAAAATCAATTTAATACAAACGAATTCCTTCTTGTTTCTTTATATAATGCCCCTTTACACTCTTTTGTTTTGTAAAATTGTTTTGGGGTTACACTTAATTAATTAAATTAATGTATACAAATACCATGGTACAATTATACAAGATAACTGCCATGATGCAATAATAAAGTGATGTATCACAATAAAAACCTTTGTTTTTGTCTCGACCTTCTGTCAATTTTTTTTCCATATAATATTTCACATGCATGATAACTCCTCACAGGAACATCGGAATCCGAAAATTCCAACTATTTTAGAAAGAGTACGTGTCTGGCTCTCGTATAAACTAGGATTAAATTAAGAAAATGGCGGATGTTTGAAAAAACGTTTTCTGGAAAATAGGCTTTTTTGACAAAAAAAAAAAACTATGTTTGAAAATAAGGAAGATCTTCACCGATTGGCTTTATCCTAGTTCACACGATAGTTATACGCTCACAGAGAAAGGTGTCACAATTTGGAATCGATTGGGTTATTAGTTTTTGAGTTATCGTGTCCACAATGTTTGAGAATCACACTTGCCGTCACTTGATGCTGACACAATAAATCGACTATATCTTCAAGAGTTCTTAAGATTTTCATCTGAAAATTTGTAGGAACATTCTTGAATTAGTGTAGATTCGAAAAACTAAATAAAATTTTTTGACACCGAGAATGGGGGGCCCCCTTAAGTAAATAATAAACAGCAAGGGGCCCAAGACCGAACCTTGAGGTACCCCTGAAGAAAGAGTAAGAAAAATTGAATCATGTCCGTATTATTAAGATCACTCCTGGTAGTTTCTGATAGGTGTTACATCAGAGAAGTTGTGCTCCGACCACGGACAATAGCAAATTTAGGAATCGGTACTACTCGAGCCATTTTCCATAAAAGTGGAAAATGTGAAGTAGTTAAAATTGTATTTATTAACTCCGAAATCAAATGATAAGTATGAGGCAAAATTAATTTAAAAAATTCAATAGGTATTTCACACCAACCGACTTGGATTTAACTTTCTCCAATATCATAAGTATCAACAAAAGGTTCAATGACAACACTATCATGCCCACCCGATGTCACACTAGTCGCAATTAAATCATTACCAAATTCAGCATCACAATCATTATCTCTAGTACAACTATGTTTTCTAAGTATACTCCAGAAACTCTTGGGTTCAAGGTTACGAAATTGCTGAGTATAACTATATTTGTCCTATTTCGGTACTTGCAATAAACTCCCCACCTAAACGGACATCTATTTTCAAGATATAGCATGTCACGAATTCCACAGAAAGGTCAACCACATAAGTGAAAAATCAATTCGTTAAGAGAAATAAGAAATATATAGGAAATATTCTTGCAATCCACACAATATATTTTTAGTTGAATTTTGAAAAATAACGGTAGTTTTTTTTTTGCCCCATTTTCGCGTGGAGAGTAACTTGGGCATATAGGCTGACTTCCAAAATGTATCAATGCAATTCTTGTATACAATAACACTACGGTATTTAAACTTCGGTATGTGATGCAATGTATAACTAACAAATCAGCTGTTTTATGAAATAAACAAATTTCATAAAACAGCTTAACGGCAGTATAAAAATATTTGGCAATATTTTTGTATTTTATCAGATTGTCAAAAAATCCTGGTGTGTTCATAAAAGTTAAATAAAAGAAAAATGTGTTTTAATACTACCCAAATAATTACAAAAAAGGGAAAGATCTTTTCAATGGACAACGTTTAAAATATAGTTATTTGTTACACATATTAATATTTTCACTAATATTACAAAAAATTACAAAATTACTTTCGTGAATCTGTCATTAACTTTTTTATTTGGATATTTCATTTTATGCTCGTAAACAAACAATGCATCAACAATAAAACCGATGCCTGATTGCTTTTTAACTGCGTTGCAAATACGTCAAATACGACATTTTGAAATAGTATGCAGTGTATATATTATGTACTGTTGCATTATGAAACAGGATGCATTGTTCGAATGCAAAGCAATTAACATTTTGGAAGTCAGCCATATTTATTAGTAATTTGTCAACAGAATCCCGTGGTAATAGCAGTTAAATAGTGTAAAAAAATATGTAACGCGTGCGTGACAAAATTAACATATGTTTCTATGCAGACTCTGATATGAGATTTTTTTTTTGGTAATTCTGTTATGTGTAGATCTTGAGATGACAAACTCAAATAAAACACAGTTTGAC